AGCACCTATTCTCACAATTGCACAAGTGTTAGGTTGGACCCTGCTGATCAGACTAGTTATAGAATTCTGTGAATACACTACAGCGTACTGCACTGTACATTGTTAATATAGGTTAGCAAAACATTTTCATTTTATTTACGCAGCCCACTGGCGCAACCCTGGATTGTAACCTCAAAGTCGTTAATTGCCCCTCTTGAGCAAAGCCATACCTTTCCATACTTGCCAAAGAGGTTTTTCAGATCAGCAGCTTTAGTGTTGGAGGACAATCCACTAACCCACAAGTTCTTAGTGGAGCTGCTCCCGCTGCTGGCACTTCCTACAGTGAAATTCAGCAGAAAAATGTTTCAAGGTCAATTGGCACAAATATCACCATGTAGTAAAGGCAACAAGGGATGAAATCTGTAAGTTTCCTGATACTTCCAACCTACAGCAGATGTATCAGACTACATCAATCTGCGTAAGGCTTTTTTTTTTTTTTTAAAGAAAAGCACTGGGAACACTCCCTTGCCATCTTTGCACAATTCAGCTGCAAGCAAGATGGTAGAGAGCTGCTGTCAGACCAGGGCACTGAGAAGAAGCAGAGGGCAAATTCTCTAGCCTGCCACTATGTGGCCTTTTGGGTCTCTGGCAACTCTATTTTGTAGCTTTGTGAAGCCAGTGACAGTGAAGCCCTCTAAAACTGCAAAAGAAATTCCCTATAACAGGGGCCCCCAATCCCTGGGTGCAAAGGTGCATTCGCGCAAGCAGCAGGCACGCACACGCAAAGCCATCCCCTCTCCCCCCCCCCGCCAGTCCACAGAGCTGGAAAGGGTGGGGATCACTGCCCTAGAATGTGACATGACTGTTTCTTGACAGCTGCAGTTTCTCCTTTCCCCTACCACATTGCTTGAAGAATTGTCTACTTCCCACTTTTTTAAATGATCCAGGTATATCCTTATATTTTCAAAGTAAGTTGTAGTTATGAATTGGATGACCTCAATCTTGCAGGACATATACCAAACCAGTTAAATGTTCATATAAACCAGGGTGTCAAACTGTCGGCCCCCAGGCTGGTTGCATCATACAGAGGCCACGCCCACCCCAGCTCCAGCAATGCAAAAAGTTGCGATATGTCGCAACACGTCACGTGATGTGGCGAGTTTGACACCCGTGATATAAACAATTTACTTAAAATTGGAAAAGAATTCACATTTAAAATTGTTTTTTCAGGAACTTTTTATAATCAAAGCATTTTCATGTCACAACAAAGAACATTTTTTCATTCTGTTTAAGAAACATTTCTATACCAAACTTCTTTTTGAAATCGATTAATATTATCGTAGCTGCTTACATTCCGCAAATTCCTCTTACTGTGGAAATACAAGACAGCAAAAATGCACTACGTGCTGCACTTTTTTTAACTGCATCATCAAGCAGAAAATCCATCATATTCAGCAGGAAACTCCTGGTCACCAATGCATTAGAGAAACCAATTTCAGTACCAGGAAGGAAACTCCTGCAAGTTTGAAATCAGTTTCCTAGCAAGGTGGCTTTCTCTTAGCATCACCAAACAGCAAGCATGGCCAAAGCCCCCAGAGGGAAGCCAGTCTCCCCCAATTCTCCATTCCTTCTTTCTTTCCCAAGGTTCTTTGAAAATGCAGAGATCAAGTTACATTCTCTACTCCAACAGTAAGGGACCCCACTCAAGCCAAATCTCCCAACCTCCCGTTCAAAAGAGTTTTCCAAACAGGCAACGAGAAACATAAGCCAAACCTTTGGACAGAAAGGAAGCAGCTCGAAGAGCATCTGCCCCACTTGCCTCCTGATGCAAGGAGACCCATCAGCAATTTCTGCGGGTCTCCCCACCCCTCCCCCAAGTTAGAAGCACCCGATTCCTCTGCAGACACAGCGCATTACCTTTGTCATCTTTGGAGGTGCTCTTGCTTTCTTTAGACTCCTTGGCCAAGCTAGGAGGAGGAACAAATCAGAGACTGAACAAGCAGACCTTGCTTGTTGAGAATCTTACACTATTAACCAAACCATTAAAAAAAAGGGGAGGGGAGGAGAATGAGATGTGTGAGTAAAAGCAGGGATGCATTGTAATTGGAGGAAAAGTGATCTCCCCACATCATGGCTTCTTGCACTGATTCTCCCCAAGATGCCTGAAGATCTAGATTTTCTGACAATTTTATTCAGTGGATATATGGTAATCTTCTCCACATTTCAGGATTGGGACTTGGCTTCATTTTGGTGTTTCTCAGAACTGAGTTGTTCATTATCATCACAAGGGTACTTAAAACTTGACTATTTGAAAAAACAAAAAATAAAATGCTGTCAATTCGTCAATGCAACCAGCAGGACAATGCATATACGAAGATCCTGATATTTTTTTTAAAAAAAAAAAAACAACACAGGTAACTTACGGCCATCAAAATATTTTACAGGCAGGAGCATAAGATACTAATTATAAGTTTCTCGCTGCTACCACCTTAATGCAGAGTGATCTTATTGAATGCTGGCAGTACCTTAAAGAACTGACATAGAAAGACAAACCTCATTGCTTGACCAGAGGCCCCAGTAGACGAGGGACCTTTCTTCAAAGTATCCTTGTCTTTGTCTCCAGATTCTGCTTTCTTCGAGCTTTCTCGGGCTTCCTTCTTGATAGGGTCCCCCATCGCGCAGTCTTCCTTCTTACCATCTTTATGGTTCTTGGTCATCTCATAGTCTTTGCCTTCTTTCTCCAAACTCGGTGCAATGGCATCTTGCTCATCTTTTGACTTGCTTGCTTCTGAATCTGTAATTTTCAGATTTTTACCTGTTTCTAGAAGGTCATCCCCATCAAAATCCAGAGTGATGGCATCTTCAGCCTGGATTGTAACCGATATGTTATCATCATCAGCTTCTTTCACAGACACGTTAGCTTCCATCTCTTCATGAGCCGAGTGATCAGCCTCAGCTAGGCTCTCTTCTGAACGAAGAGGTTTAGATACTTCTTGTGTACCATCACCAGAACCTGCTTTATCTAAGAGGATTTAACAGGAATAAATATGGCAAAACAAGAAGTTTATAAACATTTTCATATGCATAAGCTAGAAGAGAGGACCTAGAAAATACAAAGCCAGTTATTAGAACTGATGGAAGGTTAGGGAAAGAACATAAGGGGCATTAACATATAAACCCAGGATCATTCATTCTTCATGGTAAACAAATTTTCTAGACAAAGACACCAACCCTGAACAGGGTTCAGACAATGATTCCATCCAGGAGATACCTGTTCTTCAGTACACGTATCTGGCTTCCATTGTGGGCATTGTGTGCAAATCTGCTCCTCTTCGTGACTTAAGGAGGCAGCAAGAACTGAAATCAAGGTCGCTGCACTTCTAGGGAACAAAGGGCTTCGTCTTCCCGTCCGCTTCTGATGGTCCAAAGTTCAATAGCCCAACACTTCACAGTTCTGCAACTGTCATCCTCTCTGTGTTACTTCTTGTTGCCAACTGCATTGTCATTTAAAAGACTGGCTGCATGTCTTCATGTACACAAAATTCACCTTGGATTGGCAGTCTTCATCTAAATTCCAACTGGTCAACGTTCTCAATCCTGTTGCTAGTGTCTTGCTTTCCCTGAAGAGGCTTCAATTGTGGGAATCCTTAGAAACGCCACGTCTTAGCTTGCACACGTAAGGGTCTATTTAATAATGGCATCTTTTCATTGAAGTCACAATGATTCCATCATGTCCTTTAGACTACAACATGCAAGATCCTTAAGCGAGCTCATGAGAGCAGTTTCTTCACAGGAGTCTTGAGAGTTTCATCCAGTTTGGATTTTAGGAGTATCATTCAGGAGATGACTCTTTCTCATTTATTCCAAAATCTCTTGTGTGGCTTTAAAAAATGGTGTGACAATTGCCAGAGCATAAAGGAGGGTATGGTCCACAGTCTGAAGGGCTTCCCAATTCCATTCTGTAGAGTATTTAATTTTCGTTGGGCAGCTATTGGTTACTGCAGTGCAAGGTACAGCGTAGACATCAAGACTTACCATATCCACAAGGCTTACATCAAGAGTTTAGCATCTTTTCTCCAGTAAGACCTATGAGGGGCCGTATGTACGTATCCAATGAAGTAAGTGAAGTTGGAGGAACAAAGCCGATCGAGCAGAGGTTCAGCCACGGTCCTTGGCAATGGCTCTTACTATGGAGATGATTTTTAAGGCGCAAACCAAGGCACTTGTTATTTCCAAAGGGTGGGGTAGGGTGGGAGCAACCTGAAGTATATTAGTACATTTAAAACTCTATTGAAATTCAAACATACCTCTCTCATTCTCTTCTCCATCCTGCCAATTAAAGAAAAAACAAATAAACTTTCTGAAATGATATTCAGGTTACTAAGAAAATAAACTGCCATTCATTTAAAGGAACAAAGATGTGCTATTGGAACACCATGGAGTGCTCAATTATGGTTTTCTTCTGCTTATATTAACAGAAATTTATATTCAGTTGAATTTTTCTTATTCTCCAATCACAGCTGCAATTAGTCCATTGTTGCTACTATCTAGAAAGGGAGATTCAAACCATATTGCATGATGCAGCTGGGAGAGGCACTGCCACTATTCTGTGGCCAATTTTTCAAAAAATCTATAAATTCTCAAAGAAAAATCAGATAGCTTATCTTTGCTCAGTTCAGCATTTGAGCAATCTGAGATTTCTTTGTGAATACTGAGGCTTGAGATACTGAAAATCAGCAAACATTCTTTTTCCTCCGGTTAAATCATTTCAGTTTTGTTCACTCCCCGCTCACTTCAAGAGAATGCGAGCAATATTTGTTGGATGATCACAAAAGTTGGAATCACACCCTTATTTTATCAGAAGCACTCCAGATCAAGTAGGGGGAAGAGGGAGAGGGCCCACAATAAAGGCAGAGATACCTAGAAATGAAGCCAACAGGAAATGAATATTTTAAAAACACCAGGTTTTGTGTCATTCTACATCAGAAATGGAGGCTTGTCCTACAAGTCACTACACACAAACACACACAGTGACTTCACCATTCGTAAGAAGCACCAGATTCCCTGACGTAAGTCAGAGGTGTAAAAATCTTTTAGGATATTGCAACAAAATCTCAGACTTCAAACAAGCCAATATTATTCTACAGTAGATTAAATGCAGCTATCTCCAGTTTCTCAATAAATCTTTAAAAAGCTATTTAGGAACTTACATGAGTAAGACCAAAGTTGTCATCTTCCAGATCTTGAATATCGATGCACTAAAATGAAGAAACCAAAGCAGACTAAATAAGCTAGCTTACTATGAATATGTAAACATTGATGTATTAATACTAAACTTGCATTCTGACAACAGCTTCTAAACAGCTTCTACACTAAGTCACCAGGAAGGCATCAAGCAAGATCTGGTAATCTGACAAACTCTTCTCAGGGTTTCCTCTGAAGTAGCAGCCCTGCCTAGCAAGCGATGAGCATGACCAGCATCTCTAGTTTCACTTACTGCATGTTGCCACTTTAGGCTTCTTCCAGACACTTTTATGGCACTTTAGAAAACTGAGCTCATTCAAAGCACATTGAAGTCAATAAACAGGACAGCTTAGTTAATAGATCAATGTCTCCTCATAAACTAAGCTATAGCTAATAACGTACAACCACAAAAATACCCTAAACAAGGAACTTCCTTTAACCACAACACAATACTGAACAGAATAATGAGACAGTTGTGCTTCTTTTCCTCACCTTCACCCAAATTGTTGGGATGAGGAGCTAACCTGCACACAACCTTTTAGGCAAACCACACTAATGTAGTCATTCAACAAGATAGTAACATTTGACATGGAAATTCACAAACTATGGTTGGAGCACAAGGAACGCTGAGCCAGGATGAAGTACACCAAGATCTACCACTAGCTCTGCAGAGGACAAAAAGACTCCCAGCCATCATTTCTTCAGGAAGAAAAAATATCATTTCTTCTTCAGCTGGGATTCCTAACAGGGTATTTCTTTGGTTTTTTTCCTTAATGAAATGCATATTTGGAAATGGAGTATGTGTGTGATGGGGGTGGCATGGGGCTCAGCGGTTAAGATGCTGGGCTTGTTGACTGGAAAGCTGGCAGCCCAAGTTTGAGACTTGAGCACCACACAACAGGGTAAGGTTGCCTCAGCTACTGCCAATCTAGCAGTTCAAAAGCATGCAAATGCGAGCAGATAAATAGGCACCACTTCGGTGGAAAAGTAACAGTGCTCCATGATATCATACTGGCCACATGACTGCGGAAATGACTTCAGATAGCGCTGGCTGAACAGCCTTGAAACGGAGATGAGTGCCACGCCCTAGAGTCGGCAACTACTAGCGGAGTAAACAGGGACCCCTTTACCCTTATATGTGTGATGAAAGAATGCGGAATATCAACTATTAAACCTCATAAATCCAAGAAATATCTATTTATCTTGTCTCTGCTGACGCACAGAAAATAAAATTTGTATTTAAAGGCTGCCCACTAGATTACAATTTATGGCTTTTATTTGATAAGCAAGAAAGCCAAACCTGGGCCTTGCATCCTGCAAACAGTAGCCAAAGGCAAACTGACATCTAATGCTTCACACATTAATGCCAAATCACCAGTCAGTCACTTCCATTCAAAGGACAGCAGGTACCAAAATAGTCAGCCTTGTAAAAGAACCTCTGGAGTCTTGTGACTTGGATCCCAGGTGACAATGCTAAATCAGGCCTGCCACCTTTCTGAAGCAGACCACAGTGGGAAGGGTACTCAGCTAAGACCCCTAATGCATCAGCAAGGGAAGGAAGCCAGGGAAAAGACCAATAACATTGCAGCAGGAAGAAACAATAGTGACTCGGTGGCCTTTCTTACTAGTTAAGAGAATGTAACAACTGTCATCCTCTGTTATCTGGAAATTGGGAGAACAACATCTCTTTAAGGGATTTTGTAGGGTACCTGGTTTTCCAACTCTTTCTCTATCTGCTTTAAATTAGATTTCTTCTTATCGGCACGAGGCAGCATAGTAGAATTCAAGAATTCTTCATTTTCAGCAGATTCGTCAGAGTCTTTCAATTCATCATTTCCATCGTGATCACTTGCATCGTGAGTTTCCAGTTCACACTCCTTTCAATATGAATATTTGACACAGCAGAGGGAAATGGCCAATTTAGTGAGATTTCTCTAGCAAATTAGGAAGCTGTTTATGCTTCCTGAACTGAGCTTTCATAATACCCTGTTGTCACTGCCGTTTAGATTCACAGTCTAGTTATAGTTTGCTAGAGCAAGAATAGTAGTTTAGAAGCTCATAAATATTTATTTAAAATCAAACAAAACTCTGCAATTATCAAGTGTGCAGAGGAAACCCATGAATGTGCATCAAAAGCTCTAATGATCTTTTCGCTAGGAAGAATGCTTAGAATCATGTCTCCAGCTTTATATTACCTTAACCAAGGAGTCATCTTCCATTGAAGCATCACCACTTAGTTCATCAATTTCCTGCTTTTTACCTAGAAGCCAGGACATACTAATGAAAATCTTTTATTATGAAATACTGGTAAATATTTAAACAGCCCTATCTTTATTAATCTTCTGGAGAGCGTTAAAAACGTGAACCTTCAATCAATCCTGAAGGTGCCATAGAGATTCTGCAAGAGGATGTATGCAGCTCAAGGACTCAGACAGTTGGGAGCAATATGCTGACATTGCAAACCACTCAGAGAGGGCTGTAAAGCCCTATGGAGAGGTATATAAGTCTAAGCGCAGTTGCTATTGCTAAATGGTGGTCATTTTTCCCCAAACAAAGCCAACAAAGTTAGTTAGTATTTTAGTGCTCAAGAAAGTAATTTTGCTCATTTAAAAATATTTTTCTGTAAGCAAACAGACCATCTGATCATCATTAAGAAAATACTTTTACTTCAGTTATAACCTTTTCCTTTGGTTGGCTTCTTATTCAGGGCATCTGTTGAAACAGCTATTTCAATATTGTCAGGGTCTCCTCCTTCCTCTTCAATAGCCTAATAGAAAATAATAATAATAATAGTAGTAGTAGTAGTAGTAGTTTTATACTTGAATTTTACCCTTGTATTCATTATTCCTTAAATTTGGAACATACTGCATGAAATTCAAATTAAATGCGTTTTGGAGGAAGCATTTGAAGGAAGATTCCAAAACCAGAAGACCCACCGGCGCTCCATTTCTGCGACAAGCTGTCTCCCAGCGGCGCTGCCTGCGCAAGGTTTCCCAGGCCAGAGAGCCATTTCCCGGCAAGAGGGGGGGGGCGCGGGCTCGAGGCCTCTGGCTGCTTCCCCGATGGCCTCCGCTGGGGCCCTCCCGGGCCGTGCCACAGCTGGGCTGCAGCCGGTCTGGGGGGGCGAGGGAGGGACGTCCCTCCGCTCTCCTTGCAGGCCGACGCCGCCCCCGGGGGGGTCCCTGCTCCCCGCTGGCTCCGCGCGGTCCTCGGAGGCAGCACTGGGCGGGCCGGGCGCTTCTCCCGGCGCCTTCTCCCTCCGGCTTCCAAGGCCGCCCCGGCGCCCCTTTCCGGCGCCCGGTCACCCGCCCCGGGAGAGCGCCGCCGCTCGGGCCCCCCGCCTGCCCGGGCCCGCCACTCCCCGGCCGCGGCCTTCCCCAGGACGCACCTGCTTGAGACGGGCGATGAGGACCGTCTTCACGCCGGTGGCGTCCAGGTTGCGGCGCTTCAGCTCCGACTTGAGGTCGATGACGCGCAGCTCCGCGATCCGCTTGCCCTCCGCCGGGGGCGGCCCGGGGGCGGCGGCTCCAGACGGCGCGGCGGCCATTTCGCGGCGCTTCGGCGGCGGCCACAATACGGCGCCCCTCCCCCACCCGCGGCCTCGCTCGGCGCCCGCGTCGCCAAAGGACCCGGATGCCGCCGGGCGCGCCTGCGCAGAGCGGCCGCCGTCTCGGCTCGGGCCGCTGCCCCCGCCCCCCCGCCTCTCCCGGCCGCTGATAGGGCGGCTCGGCGCCGGGCGGGCGCTTGAAGTCGGCGGGGGCGGCGGGGCTACGGCTCCCAATGGCCAGGCCGAACCGGGCCGGCGCGTCGGGCAGATGCCAACGGCGGCTCAGCGTGCCCGGGAGGTGCGGCGCGGCTCTGCGCCCCGGGACGGGCGATGCTCCCACCTGCGGCTCGGCGCGGCCGGGAGACCCGCGGACCCTGCTTCCCTTCCCTCTGAGCTTTTCCCAGCGCGCCGCGGCTCAGTCCCGGCAGCCCTGGAACAGGAGCGCCCCGGCCTGTCCGCAGCGCCCTTCATTGCAGTGCGCGCACAACAACCCGGAAAGGTGGGCCATCGTTCCCCTCAGCGGCGCTGACGGCCGCACTCTCCCCCGACCGCGAGGGGGCGCTCCCTGCGGGCCTAGACGGGCCCTTTCCATCGCTGGTAACGGGGTCGAGACTGCCGCCCAGAGCGTTTCCCCCACACTTCGGGCTCCCCTACGCGTGCGGGGCTGCGGCGCTTCCTTGCTGCGCTGCGGCGTCCCCCGGCGGAAGCGGCTGCCGACGGCGGCGGGGGCAGCGCCCCCCCTGAGGGAGCGATGTGCGGGAGGCGCCCGGGCGGCCCCCTCCGATCCAGCTAGGGCCGCGGGGACGCGGCGTCCACGGGGATCCGGAAGCCGGCGCGCGCGGGAGCCGCGGCCTCTTGGGGGCGCCGGGCGGCCTGCCGTAAAACGTCGCGGGTGTCGCGCTGGTGCGTCCGCGGAGAGGGAGGGGAGGACGGGCGAGGCGGCGGCGGGGCCAGAGAAGAGCGGCGGCGGCGGCGGCGGCCCTCTCGGGACGGCGGCCTCGCACCGCGGAGGCAGGAAGGCGGTAGCGCGGCGGGCGAAGGATCCGGCGCCTGCTGGGCCCGGCTAGGCCGCCGCCCCCCGCCTCGGCCCCCTCAGGTAGGCTCAGGGGCGGGGGCCGCCGGGCTTTCGCAGGCCGCGAACCAGGGGGCCCTTGGTGTAGCCGTCCGCGGGCCGGACTACAACGCCCATCGTCCGGGGCGGGCGCTGCGAGGCCTCTGCCCGCTTGAGGTGCGCGGCCGGGGTCCCGCGCCAGGGCAGTCGGATGGGCCGGCGTGCGCGGCGGGCCCTCGGGCCGGCCGAGAGTCGCTCCCTGGAGAGAAAAGGGTCCCGCCACCGGCGTCCCCTGCCCGGCGGAGGCCGTGGCGCTCGGCCGCCTGGCGAGGCTTCTCCGCCTCCAGCCGCAGGGAAGGCCGGGCCGGGCGGGGCCCGCTTGGTGGGGCGCAGATCACTTCCTCGCGGGGTCCCCGGATTGGGAGTCTCGGCCCTTCTCCTTCCCAGAAAGGCTGCCCTTCCTCCTCCTCCTCCTCCTCCTCGGGGCCCTCCTGCAGCTAGTGCCCCCCCTCCTGGCAGCAAAGGGGCAGTTCGCTCTCCGCATTTTAAATAAGGGGGGTGTCTGAGATGGGGTTCCCTCCCCCCCCCCCCGCTTTCAGCCAGGACGGAAACTGTGAATGCTTGTCCGGTCCGTCTCTTCCTTGTTGGTTTTTGTCACTTCCACCCTCTCCCTCAAGCCCCCCCCCCCGACCCTTGCCACAAGGGCTTCCTGCCTCCTGAGAGGCCTGTTTCCAAAGAGGCTGCTGGACCTGCTGCCTCCACCCGCCCCATCCAAGTTCCCTGGGGGGGGGTGCAGCCCACCCGGCCTCCTTTTCAAGACTGATTGCTCCAGGAGGGCTGCATCGGGCCAGCACTGCTTCGCCCCTCTTCCCTAATTAGAGGGCTCTGAATTGGTCTCTTTCCCTAGTCGATCCCCAATGGCTTTAAGATGTGGCTGGGTGCCATGTTTTGGAGTCCCTGTAAGACCCCAGGGTGGGCATCAGGATCAGGGAGATTAAGAAGTCATCAATACGTATGCCAGTCGGTGCCAATTCACATTATTTTAATATGACCCACTCAATCTCTCGGTCAGAAAAATTGTAATGGAGGCTGAGTTGCTGAGGCACCAAAGGGGAAATTTCAGCTGAGATAATACGAGGATATCAGAAACATGTTATAAGTTCCATTTTTATGGCCATAGGTTCTTTATCCATTAATGAGTAATCCAGTAATAGCCCTGATGCTGGGTTTTGTGTAGAACAATGGCAGTTGGCAATAATGTACTGTTTACATAAGGACAAAAAAAGACTACAGTTGGGAAACATTTATTTTATTTATTAAATTTTTATACCACCAATCTCCCTGGCAAGGTGACTCCGGGTGGCTATAAGCTATAAAAAAAAGGCACAGACCTTTTTAAGATCAGTTTCTAACATTTATTTCTCCTATTGTTAACAGTTAAATCTCTAGATCATATGAAAACATTCGCATAACAGAAAATGATGGAAAAAGCTGGAAACCCTCATGAGGAATGTATTATGTAGGAAAGACTTGTATAAATAGTGGGCTGGTGGCTGTTAATGGGCAATATTCAAGGTTTTCCCCAGCTGAATTACAGTTTTAGGAAAGGTTCTTGCCCCCTCTGCAGGCACGGTGACACGGGAAGCCCCTGAAGGATTACTTGAATCCAATCCAGTCAGGAGCAGGTATCATAACTGTATGATCTCTAGCAAAATAACTAGATCTGCCATCACACATCACTCGGTGCAAGGCCAAGCCTGGCAGGAGCAAAATCCATACTTGGCACAGGATTGGGGGGATAGCCAGAATGGTTGGGTAGAAAAGTTGATTTGCTTATCCCAAATAGTGGATGGACCTGGGCCTGTGGCATCAGTGGCTCTTTGTTGTGACACATGAGGAGGAAGCAGCTCACCGAACATTGTTCAGATACAGCGGAGATTGGAACCATCCTGGGCACCCCAGTTTCCCTGATGTAAAATCCAAGTACTTTTTTCTAATGGATGCAACCCATTTGAATGGCTGGGATGCCTAGAGAAGTAATGGGGGGGATGGGTGTCACCTGGAGCATTTTGTTAAAGTTTGTAAAACTCTGGTAGATGCCTTTGGGAGGAATGGATGCATTTGCCAGAAAGATTGGAATGCCTTGGGTGTGACTCTGCTCTCAACTAGTAACAAGTCCCTGTTGGATTCTGGGTGAGAATGCTTTAAGTTCATCTAACACAATCCTATCAGGTGTAAAATAAATTGTTAACAACTCTGAAATGTAATTGCTTATTAAGTTAGACTTACTGGTTGACTGTTTTTACCACAGCCATCCTGGATGGATGCTGTAGCCTAGGGTGAACCTAATAGCCAACCTTTTCATTGCTGGTCTTGCCAAAACGTGGAGAAGCAATAAAACTATTAATTAGGAAAATGACAAGGAGGGAGAATACCAGCCAATTTTCACCTGGGTGCGGGATTTGGAAAACAGGTGTCCAAGGCATTCCCTCCTGCCACTTGCAGGGTCCCCTGTATGCAGAGGCCTGCCCAGGCCTACCTAAGTTTCACCTACTGAATTTTCTCTTTTCATTGTGGGTAAATATCAATTTTTCATGGATTCACAATTTAACAAAAGACAAACTGGACTACTCAGTTCATGCCCACAAGCCTTTGTGCAGCTGGTTTGGCTTAGCGTTTTGTATGAACAAAACCATAGTAGTTTGGAATCTATACTTTGCAACTGAGGGTGTTACGCTAATTCATGATGGTTTGTTTAGTGATAACCCTTCCAGTCCTTGACACATATTGTGGATGTGAGAGGGAGGGAGAGACTGGAAGGAAAGTACATCAATCCCTTGTATCTGTTGTATCCTTTAATAAAAGAAGTTCCAGTTCCCCAATACATTTCTGTGGCTTGATTATATCAGTTTTCCCTCTGTGATTTTAGTTTCTGGCATCAACCATGTTTGAGAGGCAATCTTGTTTTCCCCAATATTATTAGGAATTTATAAATTTTATAGTTTATTCAAGTTACAATTACTGATAAAGTGATTAGAATTGTGTGAAAACCTAAACTATCCTCAGTAAAATCAACAGCATTTTAGCACAGCGATATTTACAGAAATATAGTTAGTATTTATTGCTTCCTCCAACTGTAGGAAAGCTAAGATTCCTACCAGTTCCTTTACAGATGAAAAACTGCTTCTGGTCCCCCGCCTTGCAATCTTGCTTCCCTTCGCTTGAGGCCCTGTGGAGAGGGAAGGGGCTGCTCTGTGGGAAGCAGAGAAGGCTGCAGAGCAAAGGGTTTCTGGCTGCTCGGGGACAGGTAGAAGTCCTCCTAGCTAATGTTTGTCAATCTTGGCCGGTTGGGGAATTCTGGGAGTTGAAGTGGGCACATTGGGAAGGGATCCTCTCCTTAGCAGTCCTGGGAGGCGGAGAGTGACTCGGCTCTTGTGTTTGTCTCCATCCAGGCCCCCTGCGCGGCGGCGTTCCCATGTCTCAATGGCCCCCCTCCCGATGTCATAGCGTCTATACATTAGAAGCGGATATGAAGAGTGACGTTTCTTCTGGCGCACCAAAGAGCCAGGGAAACCTGAAGGGGATCCTCTTGAACCCTCCACCCTCCGAGGCGGCCAAAAACTTCCCCAGGGAAGAAGTTGAGATGATTGCTAGCAAAGTGGGGGACGAATTCTCCCACCTCTGTGAGGACACCCAGAAGCAGAAGGACCTGAACGGAAGTCGTCCCACGCAAGAAGCCATTGTTGTGAGTAAGAAACACAAGAGCCAGCAGGCTGGCCCTTCCTATGCTCCGAACTGTGGGGGCAAAGAGACACCCCCCATTTTAGGGACTAGGCGGCACCTTGAAACACAAAGCGAGGACGACTCTTCTTTTAGCGACTGTGCCTCTTCGCCTTCATCCAGCTTGCATTTTGGAGACTCGGACACAGAAACTTCAGACGAGGACAAGGAGGCGGCTCCCATGCGGCAGGCTCGGGCTGTCTTCAATGCCTCCAGTAGAATCCACGGTTCTCGGCCACAAAAGTGGCCCCGGACAGAGGCGGACTCCGTCTCAGGGATATTACTGAAAAGGCCCTGTTTCCACAACAGTAGTTCTCGGAGAAGACTTCCCTATAGGAAGCGGTTTGTGAAAACTAGCTCTGCGCAACGAACACAGAACCAAAAAGAGCGGATTTTAATGCAGCGGAAAAAAAGGGAAGTCTTAGCTCGGCAGAAGTATGCTTTGCTGCCCAGCTCCAGCAGCACCACTGAGAACGACCTCAGCAGCGCCTCCTCGTCCAGCTCCTCCACCGAAGGAGAGGAGGAGCTCTTTGTGTCAGCTGGGGAGAACCACCAAACCAGCACTGCGGTTCCCTCAGGTAAAGATGCCGCTCCAGGTCTCCCTGGCTGGACTTTGCCGAACCGTTTGCCCCCCCCCTCCCTCCCCTGTCAGTGCCTGCACCTGGGAAGGGAGAACTCGGCCAGAGGGCTTGTGTTCGGATCACTATTTCCCAACCTTGGCAACCTCCGGAGGCATGGGCCCATGCTGGCTGGGGAATTCTCGGAGCTGACGTCCACATGCTGTTGCCAAGATTGAGAGACGCTGTTTTGGGTGGTCCTTGCTGGTTCCCTGACATCTCTGAGCCCTTGGAGAACAAGTGCTGGTCAGCGGAGTTCTGCAAAGCCAGGGGAGCCAAGGACGGACGTTCTTTCTCCCCCTTTCCTGGGCGGGGGGGGTGGTGACAGGATTCATGACAGTAAGGGGGAGAAGGTCACGTGCCAGGATTCCTGGCCCTCCCAGCTGTTACTTTGTCCGGTTCCCCAAAGCAGCTCCCTATTGTGACACGGGGTCTCATGATGTTGCCCCTGCTAAACTTGGGCAGACATGGGACTGTTGGTGCTGGGGCAGGAGAGTGTCTTAGCAGTTCTTTGGATGCTACAGCAGGAAGGTGTAACTCCAGTTGTGTACAATTACTTGAATTCATAGGGTCCAAGCAGGGCTTCTAATGGGCTCTCTTGCCCTGACAGTTCATTTCCTGTCTGATTGTGAGCTGGAACGGTCCTGGACACCCCCGAAAGTATTCGGAGGAAGAGAGTGATGGCCAGAACCAGAGGTTGCATTGCTGCTTTTATCTGGCTACTCTGCCTTTCTCGGTAGATCCCTTGCCACCCTGGCAGATCACTCCTAATAGAATTTGTTTTAGATTTCCCCTTTTTCCTTTGCTGCTCTGTTTCAGGGAGCCTTGATGAAGATGTTGTGGTGATTGAAGCGTCTTCAACTCCCCAAGTAACTGCCAATGAAGAAATCAATGTTACCTCAACAGACAGTGAAGTAGAGATTGTCACTGTGGGAGAGAGCTACCGGTAAGAGGCCCACTTGGTTCTTGAGGCAGCTGCGGGATTGCCTGCCCACTGGAATTTGTGATCCTTTCCTCAGTGAAGAAGGCAAGATCTTGTTGAGAGACCGAGATGGAGATCCCTCAAGCAAACTTGTTTTACCCTCCTTCTGACAATTGGAATATCTGCCTTAATCGAGAGCAGGGGTGTCAAACTCGCAACGTGATGTGACGTATCGCGACTTTTTCCCCATTGCTGGCAATGGGGTGGGCGCGGTTTCGGCATGACGCATCCGGCAGTTTGACACCCCTGCTCTAGAGACCATGCCAGGGACGATGTTGTCCTTGGCTTACAATCATTCATTTAATGACCATTCAAAATTACAATGGTACCGAAAAAAGTGACTCACAACCACTTTTCATGCTTACGTCTGTTGTAGCATTCTCATGGTCACATGATCAAAATCCATCCATTTATGACGGGTACAGTGAGCTGGGTCATGTGATCCCCTAATAACCATGTCGTAAGATAGGGCAAAATATGCCTACCAACTGTCTTGCTAAGCCATGGAAATTTTTGTTATTGTAAGTCGAGGCTACCTGTAGTTACTGCCCCTTGCCACTCTCCTTCCTCCTTTCCATCTGCTGGTCACCAGGAAGCAGCCCCTGCTGGAATAAAAGGGAGGGGGCTTTCTGCAACAGCTGCCGGTTTTGATTTTTGAGTCGGAGAAAGCTCTCGTTTCAAACGGGGGTGATCTTCGTAGAAGAATCCCGCTGGAAAGGTCATTCCCAGAAATTGGAGTGCTGTTTCCCCTTGATGGTGGAATTCCTTTCTTTTCCATCCACGGATGTTGGCAGTTGAACCAGTCGTTTTGCCAGGGGGGCAGCGCTTACGTGGCAGAGACCCTGGTCACCTGCCCTGGTTTCAGCCTGCCAACCCTGCTTTTGGAGGCTACAAGCCGAGGCTTCCTTTTCAGTTCTGACACTTCCTGTCTAGTCTAGCAAGGCGTTCTCTGGGTCACTGCATCAGTGGAATGAGGCGTGTTATTCACTCAGGCTGGGGAAGGGAGAGGAGAACTGCAGCCTTTTAAACTGCCTGTGCCCCCTTTTTCTCGCTCATTATCAGATCTCGATCCTCGCTTGGGCACTCTAGAGCCCACTGGGGCCACAGCTCGGGTTCCCATGCTGCACGGTCAGCAGAGCAGCGAAACCGCAGCCGAGTCTCCACGGTTATCCAGCCCTTGAGACAGAATGCAGCGGAAGTCGTGGACCTCACGGTGGATGAAGACGGTAGGTGGCCGAGATTCTGAGCCCCAGATCCTCCACCCCTCCTTTGCAGTCCAAAAGCTTCTCCGGGGTCACTTGGTGGAAGTACTTGAATTGCAACTGCTACAAAGGGCTGTCCGCTCCCTTCGGAGCATCTGGTACTTGTGCCAAGAAATGCATTCTGAGCTGCCAGTGCAAACCACCACGTCTGTCCTTCGTTGTAGACCCAGCAGTGGTGCCAACCACCTCCTCCAGAGTGAATGTTCAGGCTGCCAGTGCTGCTTCTGAGAGCGGCCCCCCCGCCCCCTCCTCAGAGCAGGTCCCCGGAGGAGCCTCGAGCATCTCCAGCAGCCAGCCCTCCTCGCAACCGGAGCTCTCGGCTCTCCTGTCCAACAGCAGCAGCGCAGCTGGTATCTCCACAAGAGGTAGGAAGCAGAGGTCTCTCTTCCCACAGGAGCCGATGGCCCAGAGCAGGGGTAGGCAACCTTGGCTCTTTTATGACTCGTGGACTTCAACTCCCAGAATTCCTGAGCCAGCATGGCTCAGCTTGGAAACCTCTCCCTTTCCCCTCAGCATGGCTGGCTCAGGAATTCTGGGAGTTGAAGTCCACGAGTCATAAAAGAGCCAAGGTTGTCTACTCCTGGCCCAGAGGGTCCTATCCGCTCTTTGAAGTTGTGATCCTGTCGCAGCTGGAGGGACATTTGTGTTGTAGTTTAACACATGGAGGATGTCAGTGGGATTTGTGTGTGTCTGTGCGCTGATCCCAGGAAAATGACGTGTCCTGATACAGCCATGAGCTTCTTTCTGCTCGCTCGGAGGGGAGACTCTGAGTGACAAGTGCAGGCTGGGTTTGGTTTCTGCCAGGCAAGGAGGAGGGCCTGGTTGCTGAGTGAGGCCACTGATGGACAAAGAGCTGGGCTTTGCACTTGTCCCCTGCGTTGGGACTGAAAGGGATCGAGGCATTCTCTGCTCTTACTGAAGAAACAAGCATGGCCCTGTGGGTGCCACGGGGGGGGGAACCCTGGCTCAGGGATGGAGGGTAGAGGGCACGTGAGGACCGTGCTCTAAGGTCGGAGAATGCCGAGCCTTGTAGGGGAAGCTGAATGCTGGGCAAGACAATCGGGCCGCCCCAGGCACGGGGGCCCTGGCCTGTCCTCATTGGCCCGCCTTCAGTCTGCTTGTTGCACAGCTTGCCGTGTTTCCCCATGGGCTCTCGGCACCCTAACCCTTCGGATCGCTTCAGCTCAGGCCCGTGTGCTTTCCTTCCCCATGGCAGATGGCACGAGAGGAAATGCCTCCAATCACGCTCTGGAACCGGGGCCCCCAGCCATGCCCAGGCTGCCCTCCTGCTGCCCCCAGCATTCTCCCTGCAGCGTCTCCTCGCAGAACCAGCATGTCCTGGGCCCGCCTCCCACCAGCTGTTTTCAGCAGCACAGCCACCACTTCCAGCACCACCACCATCACCACAGCCCCCACGCTGGCGTCCCCCTTTCGCCCCCCTTCAGCGACTCCAGCTGTCCCGTCGACAGGCCTCCCCCTGTTCCGGCCCCCGGGGGGCCCAGCAGCAGCGCTGGCACTGCCTTCCATGACCAGGCAAGTTGGGAGGGTGGCCCCCTGGCCAGGAGTCTGTGGCCGGCCGTTTCTTTCCGTTGTTCAGGGCAGCCCCTGGCAAGCATCTTCCAGGCTGGCGTTCGATGCAGCCCTCCCTGAAGAGAGGTAAGGAACCCTGACTGGCTTCCAGGGACGCTGCCATCCGTCTGGGTGCCCTGGGGCAGAACCACTCACCGGCCCATTCCTTGGATTTCTCTTTCAGAGCGGCTGGAAGGGGCCCGTTTGCTGAATTGGGCTTCAGAGGGAGGGAGGAGGACTTGTGCTGTTGCATTAATGGCAGGAAAGCCCGATCAGAGCGCAGCGTGATGCGGTCTGACCTCCCTTCGTGCTAGCTAGGTGTGTGTTAACCGCCCCCCCTCACTTTCCCTCCTGGCCGCTCTCTCTGTGCAGCAGGCCCTGCCGGTGGATCTGAGCAGCAGCGGCATCAGGAATCCCGGGGGCGGCTCCTTCCATGGCGCTTCGGCCTTCGACCCCTGCTGCCCGGGCTCCTCCTCCCGGGCCTCCTTGTATGGGCACCAGGCGGGGGCCGCTGCCAGTCAGCCCATCAGCATGGATGGCTACAGCCCAAGCATGGTCCCCCAGCCGCCGCCGCCCCCCACCCAGACTGCTCTGTCCTCCTGCCGCCATTACCTGCACTCGCCTTGTAAGTGGGGATCTTGAAAGGGTGGGGAGGGCACCCTGGTGGGGTTGGCTCCCCCCAAGAAGTAACGGGGCCACTCTTCTCCCTCTGCTTTCAGATGCCTCCTTGACGCGGCCCCTCCACCCTCAGGCTGCAGCTTGCCCCCATTCCCATGGCAATCCCCCTCCCTCGGCACCCCCTCAGGTCCCCCCTCAGGTGGACTACGTCATCCCTCACCCCGTCCATCCATTCCACCCCTCCATCTCCTCCCACACCTCTTCCCACCCGGTCCCGCCCCAGCCCTCCCCTCACCCGCTGGCCAACGCAGCGGCCCCCATTCCTCAGCCCCTCCCCAGCGCCCATCCCCTCCCTGCGGCCGTCCCCTCAGCCCAGCGGCTGCACCCTCACGAGGTGATCCAGCGGATGGAGGTCCAGAGGAGGCGCCTGATGCAGCATCCAACGTAAGTCAGCCAGACGGTAGAAGGTCTCCCCCCTCCTCGCTTCACCCCTTTTAGCAGGAAAGGTGTTGGGTGTCCAGTCGACTTGGCAAAGCCCAGCTTGACCATTTATGTACTTAGTATATTTAGAGGCCACCCAACTTCAGAGTGACTCTGGGTGGTTGACACTTAAAAATTGTTCACACACACACACACACCATTGCAGTAAGTGGAGGCCCCTGCCTTTATCTTACCCGTTGATGCTTCCTTCCTTTCCTCCTGGAGCCTAAAGTTGAGGTCTGTGCTCTTTGTCTTCCCACAAGCACCACCCCTGGGGGAAGATAAGGAGCTGAGTGTGAGGCTGCTGCCCAGAGACACTGCCAACCCCTCCGGGCTCTCTGGAGCTGCAGAAGGAAAGGCGTGGGAGGCATAGCAGAAGGCAGCCGCTCTGTAGTGCTAGGGGAGGCTGAAGACGGCCTGAGCATCCTCCTTCAGCTAAGGGCTGCAGAACTTGAGAAAACCACTGCCAGCTGCAGATGACCAACGATGGCAGCAGCCTTACTCTGCGTCAGAAGCCTTCCGTCCAGTTTCTGGATTTGGGCAAGAGAGGAGGTCCAGATAGGACTTGTAGAAACTTAATCCTCTTTTGGATACTGAGAAGTGGCCCAATTGGCCTTAGAACATCAGTCATTTTAGAAATGCGCAAACTCTGTAGACAAATGGAAGCTGCATTTCCATCACACGCAGACACAAGCTACCTTCTTTTCCTGACTGCTCAGAATCTTGTCTGCTAGCTGGATTCTGGCCAGCCAGGACTGCCTTTTTGATCTTTGCTACACCTGATCAAGGCTGGTTGAGGCACAGAGCTGGTTTGGGAGGGGCAGCCCATGTGTGAAGGCAGCGCTGCAGTGACCGTGCAGGGAGGATCTCGCCTGCTCAGACTCCGGGACCTGGGCAGGTAGAGCTGTCAGCTTTTTCTTCCCCTCCAGGCGAGCACACGAGCGGCCACCCCCACATCCTCACCGGATGCATCCCAACTACGGCCACGGCCACCACATTCACGTGCCACAGACCATGTCTTCGCACCCTCGACAAGCGCCGGAGAGGTCGGCTTGGTTAGTAACAAGCATCCTTTTCCCTGCGATGCCTGAATGTGCACGCCCCATCCTAGACATCCAGGAAAATGGGGATGGAGTGGGAGAGACCCTGCCCCGCTTGGGGTGATTCAACCCAGGGGGTGTTGGAATAACTTTGCATCACTTATTGCTGAAGCTGATTTTAGACCGGAGTCACCCATGTGACACATCCCCCATCCCGGAGGGAGGTGATGGGGAAGCTGGCAGCCAAGGGCAGTCAGAATGAATTAGAGGCAGCCTGGGATTTTTCAGGTCCAAAACAGGCAAAATCCATGGACTGATGCCCAAATCCTATGCAAGGTTTTCCTTGGTGAGCAAGTGAAAAATGCCTTGGCTTCACATGGACTTTCTGTTTGGGTGCAGGGAACTGGGCATTGAAGCAGGTGTGACCGCAGCCACCTACCCGCCGGGCCCGATGCACCCACATTTGGCCCACTACCACACACCCCCTCGGCTTCATCACCTGCAGATTGGTGCTCTTCCCTTAATGGTAAGTGAGACAGTTACAAGCGGCTCCGGAGGTCGGTCGTCTCATGCCAGGTTCATGGAGAAATCTGGGCAGGCTACCTTTAGTGACAAGCCCTCCTTGCCCCCCCCCTCCCCCAAGGAGACCAGGCCTGCCTTAAAATCAGTGTTGATAGGAAAGTGCCCTTACAGGATAAAAAAAAAGAGGGATGCTCTGACTCCAGTTGGCAGGGGAACTGAAGCCCACCGGTTTTGTCTCAAATTGAGAAAATAATTAAATTCTCCAGTAGTCCATTGACCCTCTGCATCTGATTTATGCTCTTAATTCAGTCATCAGTTTTGACGGCTGGATTAGAAAACACCCTGATTAGTGTGAGAAAGTCAGGAGTTACTAATTTGAGCTACCTAAGCAGCCATATTTGGGGTTGAACTTGATAGATGTGTTTTTGGTGTTGTGCCTTTCCCAAGTCAAGGGTTGTAGCTGCCTTCGTGGAGAAGGCAATGCTTGAATGGGAAATTGACAGCTGGACAGGGGCTTTCTTTAACAGACTTGGAGTCAAACTGAGGTTTTGCAGCAGCTTTCTTTCCTGTTGATTTGGGGATGGGAGAAAAAAGGGACTTTTCCCTTCTGTGTTGTGCAGGAGAGGAGGAGAATCCCGAACAAACTTCTCTTCAGCCACAGCTCAAACCAAGAAAAATGTTGGGCACTTTCTTCCTCACGGACAATATCTGAGACAATTGGGAGCTGCTTTGGGCTGAGTGGGATCATAAGGGACGTCGTCGTCTTTGGTACTTAGCAGCTTGGAGCATCGTTGGAGCACTTTTGAGCTGTGGCATTGAATTTGACTGAAATTGCTCCTGGGGAGAGGACGAGGGCTGGGTGGGAATTGACTACAGTAAAGCAGCTGCAGCCTCTCTTTGGACTCAGCCGGTGGTTGAGCCCAAAAAATGGCTGATTGGGGGAGCTGGGGAGCCAGTGGCTTTTTGGACACTCTGTGACCTCTGGAGGGACAAGTAAAAGTCGAGGGGGAACGTGAGGAAGCCTGTAGAGACATAGCCAGGGAAGAAAAAATTCCTGGTTGTAGCTGGACAAAAGCTCTTTGTCATGTTGTTGCTTTGCTAGCAGGCAAAGGCAAACACATTACCCCAAGGCAGCTGAATCCCACATTAAAACTGTTCAAGACGGAAATGGCCTCTAGCAGCCAGTTGAATGATTCGTTGAAGGTGGGAGACGCTCTGTGCTCTGTTGCGTTGTGGATAGGATCTTCCAGATGTGGATGTTGGGGCTGGGCTTTGCTTGGAGGGGGCCACTTTCACTCAAGAGTTCGGTTGCCTCTGATCTCACTTGAGCTCTGGAGGGTTTGACTTTCTGAAGATGATGCTGGTCACTTTGCAGCATCTTTGATTTGTTATGGGAGGTGCCTGCTGCATTCTGGCTTGTTTTATGGAAGGAGGAGGAGTTTTATCTGGGTCCATATTCGGGGAGGCTTGGTTCTATTTCTAGGACAGTAAAGGACATTTTTGGGGTGGTACTTCAGGCCTTGTTCCATTATTGGGAAAGTTCTTGGATGTTGAAGGCCACCATACATTTAGCCTTGCAGGTAGCTCTGTCTGTTCGTCTGAATTATGGTCTTCTGAAAAGTAAGAGGCTGGCTGACCGAGGAGAGGGTTCATGGGGGTGGAACTATTTTACTCCTTCTTACTTTACAGTCATCTGACTGTGACGCAGGCCCAGAGCACCAGTCGGCACTTCCAGGATAGTTGCACAAGCAAAGTCCTGCTTGAGGGAGAACTTGTTGAACTAAGCCCAGCCTGAGCGGGATGGTCTCTCCCTCCCTGAAGGATTCTGCTTCTGGTTGGGCGCCATGACAGTCAAGCAGCTTAGGGAGAAAAGGAAGGGATGCCATCAGCCAGACCGAATTCCTTCCCTTTGCAACGGGAACAGTAAAATACTTGAAGCTGCTCTGCAATTAGATTTAACTCCCTTCTGCTATTTAAATAGGTTCCTGACATGGCGGGCTACCCTCACATCCGTTACATTTCATCGGGATTGGATGGAACTTCATTCAGAGGCCCTTTCAGGGGCAATTTTGAGGTTTGTAATAGAATCACCCTCAGCTTTGTTGCAGAACTTTTGTTTCAGGGAATAAGTGGGGAGGGACCATGTGGTTTTGGTTTTTCGCAATGTCCTTGGGTCTTCGTTGTGGTTTGGGGACAGGTAGGCACTCCAGCTTGAAAGGGCTTTTTTTCTGGCTTCTGCAGCAGCAGCCACCCTTCACCGCAAGGAGCACCTGGCTGGGAATGTTAAGTTGGCTCAGGGAAGGGGAGAGTTGGTGCTAAACGGTCAGTCCCTCCTCCTTGGGCCTGCGTGTCAGTCGGTTACGTGGCAGAGAGGAACTGCAGTATCAGATGCAGAGAGTTAATGAATTCCCCGGCCTAGTTTATGACACAGGGAGGGCCTTCAGATGAACCGGTTCAGGCAAACGCCACCATCCTTTCCCACGGAGGGTGGGATCGTGAAATGCAGCCCTTTCCCCACAGTCTCCACTAAGCGGTCTTAAGCAGCCCTGGAGTGAACCATCCCACCCACAAGAAGGGAGTCTCACTCGCTGAAATGACTGATCTCCCGCAGCTTTATGGAGGCTGCCTGCAGTCCTTGGTGTTCGGAGTCTTAGGTCTCCAGGCCCTCCGTGTGAGCTGTGCTCCGTTGCCTCACTTCATTCACCTTTAGGACATGGGAAGCCGAGGACAGGTAGAGTAGAATAACAAGAGTTGGAGGTCTTCTAGTCCTGTTCAGGCAGGAAACCCTATACCATTTCAGGAGGCGGGGCCAGGACAAATTCTCCCAGTAGAGCCACTGAATAGTAAAAGCTGCCCAGTATGACTTTTCAAATAAGTTGCATGTTAATTAAATTGGAGAGAGAGCACCAAGATGTCAACAACTTTTGTTCCACTTTGATTCCAGGAATTAATCCATCTGGAAGAACGTTTAGGAAATGTGAATCGCGGAGCTTCCCAAGGAACCATTGAAAGATGCACTTATCCCCACAAGTATAAAAAGGTGAGAAGATCTCAGAGGTGTTTGAAGAACTTCCCCATTGATCGTCCCAAAGCTCCTCTCTTTTCCTGTAAAGCCCCCCCCCAAAGGAGACGCTTCATAGATTCCCGTGTCTCAGAATCTCGCACGCTGCTGCTTTTCTAGAAGGAGACAGATAATCCCAAATGCTTTCTAGATTCCAGGTGTGGAATCTGGCTGCAGAACCTGCTTTTCCACCAGGAGGGCCAAGCCGGGCACTGCTTTGTGCCTGCTTTTGTTCATCTAGGAACCAACCCAGGCCACCCAAATTGGCCTCTTATTCAAATTGTTGATAATTGAGTGAGAAGGGACTCTGCCCGCTCTTCTTTGCCCACCTTGCTGCGTTGAGCCTCTGGTTTATTTCTGGTGCTTCTCTTAAGTTTCCTGCGTGTAAATGGGAGATTCCAGCAGCTCCTTTCTTGATGGTTTGGGGCACGGGTTGTGCTGGGAATGTGGTATCTAACAACTTCCATTGAATGAGCAATGAACGTCTGTTACTTGGAAAACAATAAAAAAGCATGTCACATTTCACAAATAATAACCTTATAAATAGGAGGCCTGCTCCTGAAATCAGAGAAGACACTGAAGCTCTGATCATGGAGCTTGGAAAACTAAGTTGGGAGTAATTGCTCAGTTGTCAGCATTTCTAGCACCAGGTTGTGTTACAAAGAAACAAAACTGAGATTGATTGAGACAGCTTATGTGTGAGCGAGGGCCTGAACTTTTAAAAATCAGCTCTTTCATGTCACTGTGAGAACATAACGCAGCTTCATGACCCGCCTGCGTGAGGTCATTCTTCCCCCCAAATGTGCCTTGGGCATTTTATAGTTGCAGAGACAAATGAGCTTAACAATTAAATACTACAAAAAAGATCCTATTCAGAAATTAAAATTAAAAAAGAATTTGGATCAACCCTCTCCTTCTCCCCCAAAAGAATTCAATTTGAAACAAATACCTGGATTGTCAAAAAATTTATTGGATGCTGAAATAATTGTATCGGAAGTTGGGAATTCAGAAATAGTTGGATAAATGTATTGTCCAACTTCAATTGTATATTGTTTAAAGTACCATGTATGGGTTGGGGGTACATAGTGGATTGATGTAACAAATGATAATTGTGTATAAAACAGACTTCATTCAGTTTGCCAATAATGTCATCTCTGCTAATAAGGTAACAACTGATTGGTTCTCACAGAGGAAACTACACTGCAAACATGATGGGGAAGAAGGAACTGAGGAAGACACCGAGGAAAAGTGTACCATATGTTTATCTATATTAGAGGAAGGGGAAGATGTCAGGTAACTGAATAGGACAACTGTTGGAAATATTGAACTAATGTTGTGGGTCAGGTGTAGACCAGGATTCATTTTTGTAAAAGTATACTGCAGAAGGTTGGAAATTTAGAGAAGTGCAGGCTCTAGCCAGCTGTGACCAGTTTGTCTCAAATACCAGAGTGGGTGGTTCTCAAAAAATTCCCCTGGGCAAAGAGGAGAAACAGTCCATTCTTTTTGAGGCTGCAACTCCAGGACCAGTTTAAAGTACCTTGTTTTGCAGGTACTGGAGGTACTGGAAGTAAAAGCTGTTTTGCAGGTACTGGAAGTAAAAGCTGAGGAAGGCTTAGTTGTTTGCTGCTACAAACTACTACAAGAAATTTATTTTTTAATTTATTTTGCCTCTTTGCGGTCTATGTCCTAACATAATAGCCAGCGCTTCCCAGCTGGAACTAATCTCTGGCCCTGGGTGCATTTTCACTTTGCAGTTTAACTCTTGTTCTGAAAGAGAAATTATCTCACACAACTTGCCCTGTGTAGTCCTTTTGCCAAATTTAGCCATCTGTGTTACAACAGCTATACTTCTGGAGAAAATGCTCTATCAAGAGAGACAGCTTTCCTAATCTGTTAGAGAAAAACAAAAACTTGATCCATTGGACAGCATGTGCACTTCTAATCCTTTTCTTCCTTTGTTTTTAGACGCCTTCCGTGTATGCATCTCTTCCATCAAGTGTGTGTTGACCAGTGGTTAATTACAAACAAGAAGTGCCCCATTTGCAGAGTGGACATTGAAGCTCAGCTGCCCAGCGAAAGTTGACAGGCTTTGGCCTCCAACTTCTTGCTTTCCTCCTTCACACCCATATCCTTCTGGGTACTGCAGTCAACCAAAGATGGCATGACTTAGCTGTGCAGTTGTGGGAAGCATTTGAACCTGCTAGAGTGCCGTTTGTCTGCTCTGTGGTATACCTAATGCTAACCCTACAGTTAGTGTATTTATAAAGCTTATTTTTGGTTTGTTTGTTTAGCCCTTTCAGATTCCTAACTGGTTTTCCTTGTCCTTTTGCATGGATCGCTCCCGATATTGCATTTCTTTGCACATATTATGGGCTTAGTGACCCCCCCAAACTTGCAGGCAAGATTATCTGCTTTAGAAAGTAGAACTGTGTGGTCCTCCCTCCCTTTTTTATTTGTACCGAAAGTCAACTTTCCAGAGTATGATTTCACTCATTACTAACCTCAGAGTCCTTAATTTAATCAAGTTTCTTAGTTTTAAATGTATAAAGATCAAAGGATATTTTTTTTAAGACATTCCTTAATTAGGAAAAAAAGCTGCTGTATACTTGTGTGGGAGAAAGGCATGAGGGCCTTGTCCTGGGCGAGCTTTGTTAAAAAGAGCATGGCCGGGGCTGCCTGCCCCACTATCTGCACCATCAGTCTAACCTGGAAGCCTTGCCTTCACATCCTGTAATGTCAGACTAATTGGAACGTCCTCTTGGATCACATTTTTATGTTCTTAAACCTTCAGCACAATGCAGATATCTTTGAATGTCAATATTAAAAACATTTAGACTGCTGTCTGATTGTATGTACCATTTTCTTATGTCTAGCCATTCAAATCACTAACATAAAGTTTACTGCTGTGAACAGCTCTACTGAACACTAAATACTGGATTTCAATTACCAGTAGCTGCACTGTAGATAGATGCAGGCTGAATAAAACAAGTACTAGGAGAACGAGGAGAAGAGCAGGGTTGTTATCTGTCTTTTGTTTTCATTCCTCAGTCCTGTGTTCATCTGCTGATCTACACAGAACCGGTTTTGTAAAAAAGGAAAAACTCAGCTACGGGACGAAACCAGTACTTAAAATAGCATTTCTTAAGGCAAATATCCATGAATTCATAGATTTTATGAAGATCCCTACTCTCGGGGGGGGGGGATTGGGTGGTGTTTTTTTTTTAGTTTTACAATTAATAAAGTTAGCTGAACCCATCTGCCTTTTGTGTTCTTTCTCAAGATTGATTATCGTATTACATAGGGTATTCTGCTATTAACGCCTATGCGGGGGGGGGGGTCTTTGGGTGAAGCACATTCAGGGACTTTTCCTGAATCCGGAGGCTCCCTTGACCCGGGTCTCCCGCTCCTACTCACGGAAAAGACTACAGCTCCCAGAGGCTCTTGCGCGAGGGCCGCAGTCGTGGCGACGCGGGACGAAAAAAAGCGACAGCCAATCGGGCGCGTCTCCTCCACGCGGAGTGCCAGTGGGGGCTTCCATTTGAGACCGAGGAGGCGGAAGTGCGCGGCGGCGGCAGCACATGGCGAGTGAGCGCGGCTGGGCGTGGCTTCCGTTGCTCGCCCTCTCCGGGGCGGGGCTGAGCACCCGAGGGGCGCTCGTTCGGGGAGCGCGTCTGGGGCGGGCTCACGGGCGGCTTTCTAGGGCTAGCCCGGTTCGTGCGGCGCAAGAAGGCGGACGGCGGACGGGCTCCGTGCCTTCTGGGGAGGCAGCCCTAGAGGCTGCGGGGGTCTCGGGAGCGCTCAGAGCCCCCTCCCTTGGAAGTGGGGGCGATCAGGAGGCGCTTCCCGTTGGGCTCCCAGGGCGCCTTTAGCGCGGCTGCCTGCTTTTGCTTCCCCCCTTTTGTAGCCCCCCCGTCCTCTGGCGAAAAGGCGCCCTGTTCCATCCCGAGGGGGGGGGCAGCCGTGCCAGCCTGGCCCCGTTTCTCCCCCCGCTCCCTCCTGGCCCCCGGCCTGCCTTTGGGCCCCCGCGGGTGCGTCCAGCGAAGCGGGTCCAGGCCGAGCCTCCTCCGAGGGGCCGCACTCCGCGCGGGGGTGCTGACGCCGCCGGCCGGGGGATCCGCAGCCGTGCAACGCCTACGCCGAGGAGAGCTCTGGCTCCCCACGGCTCCAGCCGGGGCCTCTCAGGGATCCCAGGCCGCCCTCGACTGGTTTCACCGTCAGTTGTGTGCTTCTCATCAAAGCTTTGTAGGAATGTATCTCGGGCATCTTCTCTGAGGTGGCTGTGCTGGACAGGGGAGGGAGATTTCCTGACTGCTGAACAGCAGAAAGCTCATTGTTCTAAGAACCATAAACAATGAGAACCAGTTTCTTTGCTAGCAGGAGGCTGAAGTCAGGCCTAAGTGCCACCTCCCGTAAGGAACTCCAGTTGGTTGGTGTGCCTCCAATGGTTCTGGATGCAAAATATGAAGAGATCTATGCACCGAGTAGTTTGGGTTTTGTTTACATAACCGATAGAGCATACAAGTCCACTCAGATTCGGGAAATGGAGCGGAATATCCTGAAAGAGCTGAATTTTGTGCTGGGCCTACCACTCCACTTTCTGAGGAGAGCAGCCAAAGTTTCAGAAGTAGGTCTTTCCCCGGCTCTTTGGGCATCGGGCTGAATTGGGTTCAGGATCAGATAAGGGCAGTGAGTGCCCAGAAGGTTGTTCTTACAGTCCAACAAAATTACTATTGGGGGAGGGAATAGGTGCACAAATACCAAGTCTCAGAGAGTCAAGCAGTTTCCTGAGCAGATTTGGCTTTTAAGCAAGGCAGCTTTGTACCTGCTTTACTTGAGGTTTCCAAATGGCTGGGGAGGAAGGCCTAGCAGAGTGAGGCTCCAAGGGGTAGCACAATGGGGGCAGGAATGGAGAGTGTTCTGAATCTGATTAGAGGGCCCCTTCAAGGCAGAAGTAGTAGGTACTTGAGAGACTCTAGGTCATGGGGTGCGCTTCCCCAGAGAAAAGCGCTCAAAGCCCACTCCGAGCCTGAAGACAGATGGTTGCCTTTGGTCCTTCATTTCCAGCCTTCTGCAGAAACATACCTGCTAGCAAGATATTTGATGGAATTAACTCTTGTGGACTATGAGAGGGTGCATTACAATCTTTTGGAGAGCACTGTCGCTCAAGGAAGGTCGTCTTGCAGGGCCAGTGGGTGAGTCTCAGCTGCAGGCAGGGCCTGAGGAAGCTTTGCACGCCCTTCCCCAAGGCTTCAGAGTTCTAGTGTCTGCGTCTTCCTCTCACTCCATGTAGTGGGGATCCAGAGCTCCACATATCTAACTGATAAGAGCAAATCCAGGAACAGGATCGCCCTGCACAGTTACAGGGCAGGATTTGCCTTGATCCTGTTTGTCTGGGACTCAGGCTATTGAGGACGTGGGTTCTGCTTAATGACTGTTAACCAGGATTCCCAGTAGTTGAGTGTGGGGAGGAGAGAGTCAGTTCCCCAGGCCACCATCTCTTTAGGGATGTTTTAGCTCGGTTAGCAGGTTGGATGGCAGACTGGACAAAAGAGCTTGCTAAGAAAAAGTTATAGCAGAAATCGGCAAGGCCCATATCTAGTTTGTTATGGAGACAAGACCTTCTCTTGCCTTGTGTGGCTGGCCCTGCTTCAGCCTTGCCTGGCCCTGGAGCTTCACACGCAGTTGGGGCTGTGCCTGCCTTGAGCCATAAAAGATGCTCCACGATGCTGTTACAAGTCTACTATCCTCAGAAGTGTCCGGTCAACCTGCCCCAGAGTGGCCCCATCCAAGTCAGCTGCACTGTCCCCCAAAGGCATCCCCATTGCTGACCCTTTTCAAGCCCTCACATGCACCCCTCCCCCAGCAGAGGGGGTCTAGCCTGCACAGGATTGTCACACCAGCTTCCTCTTGCAGAACCTCCAGCTCTGCTTTTATACTGGATACACGGAGGAGAGGCTCTCCCTGATTATGGGGCACCTGGCCAAAAATGCGGTGTGTCTTAATAGGAATCTTAACAAAACAAATTGTAAGTATCAAATCCTTTCATCCTCCAGTCTCTGAGCTGTATCCCTTATTCTATAGTGTATGGCCTTGCTAGCTAAGTAGGCAAGCAACCTGAAATGTAGACGTCTCCCTCCAAGACAAGTGAATTGCATTGCCCTGCTAAGATAGTGTTGGATTGATCTCTGAGGTCCAGCCCTTGTCCCTCAACCCCATCAGGCAGTCAAGGAGAAATACTCCAGCTTGCACCATTAAAGACTTAGCGTGTTGGCTAAATGAATCCCAGCAACTGTTGTGAGTGCCAGCCAGAGTCCACTGGCATCACCATCTCACATCACACGGGAGGTGGGCACAAGACCTGTGCATATAGGCCAGGATGTCATGTATTTATACTTAATAAAGACATTGCAGAGTTGCCAATATTTTACTCTGCCTTGAAAAACAGCAAGAGGGACTTCCTAATAAAGTGATTTTAAAGCTGAAGGCCTGTGTGGCATGGAAAACCACAACTGCTTCACAAAAAGTGTGTGAGGTAGCTCATCTCTTTCAATATCTGTCCCGAGTTGTAAGAGAATCTTTCTTGAACCAATAGGACTGGCCAGTCTCTCTTAGGTTCTGGAACCACAAAGCTGCCTTGAACTCCTGTCCCAAAAGGGCAGGGAGCGCACTTCTCACAGAGCCCCGCACCACAGGAATTGTAGTCTCTGTTTTTATTGATGGGAGGAGAGCAATTTAACCCACATGCAGAGGGTCCACGTCAGCACAGACCAGCTTTGGAAACTTTTCGTAATGCTGACAATTGTGTTACATTCCTATGATGAAGTACCTGGGCCCCAAATGATATTCCAAGCCACTTACTTATTGTGCACATTAATACGGCTTTGCCCTTGGCTTGTTTCTTTACATGTGCACCAGATGAAAGCAGTGACAAGAGTTTATAGCTTCCTTGGAGGCAAAAGGAGGGGGAGGTAATGCATAGATATAATAATAATAAAAGTCAGTGTGGGCCAGCCACATTGACTGACCAGATGAACTATTTGCAGCATAGAATACTGTTTTCCTTTGGTTCTGGTGCCTTTCTGGAGTCACAAGCATAGCTAGACAAGACAGTAGGAGAGAGCGTAGATGCACACAGACAGACGTGTCCACTTAGGAAAGGAAGAGGTGGCGCAAGATTCCCCAGAGAACTAGCAGCAGAATCTGCTTCCCCTGGGAAGCTGCCCACTGTGGAGATGTGCATAGAATGTCATTGCTTCGTTAGATAATCTGGAAGAAACAGCAGAACTAAAGGCACTTGAAAAATGAAACAAAATTCTTCTAAATCCGTCAGAGCACTTGATGGTTTCCAGAACTGTTTTTTAAAAAATAATGGAATGTAATTTCAACACATTCCTCTTTGCAAGAAAAAGAGTTAAATAAAATAAATAAATCCTTGGCTTTGTGGGCTTTGGCTTCTCATAAAACAGACTTATCCTCTTTTTAACCTCATGGAGGAACTGAAGCTGCATATTGTAGACTTTGCCTAGACCGGCAGCTTTCCACATCACTCAGAGGGTTGGAAAGCGTCTTCTCTGGCATCTTGGAACTGATCAAGGGTTTCTTAGGGTCAGAGTTACACCTTGGTCACATAATTATTCGGAAAAAGTCCTTGTTTGCCTCTTAATCGGCCTGTCCACCAGCCAGAGGGATCTGGAAAAAAGGACAGTTAGTTAGAAGAAGCTTTGCCTGACCCTAACCCCACCCCCACCCCCAGCCGCTTGTTCTGGTATTTCAGACCTAAGAAAATGGGTTGCAGTGGGACACAAGTAAGGGACATTTGCAAAGCTACAGTACCCAAAGTCATTTTTTCTTTGTCTATTTTTAAGATGAGAAAAAAAGCCATTTGGGGAAATATCCAAATGGAGGAGAGTAGTAAGCTAATCCAACATTAGGCCATGGAGTAAAAGGGATGACTAACTGGGCACAAGCAGAACGGAGATTTAAGAGCCCTGCCCGGTGTCAAAGGGAGCAAACGGCCCCCTTTGCCTTGGGCAGGCAATGCCTCCCTGAGGTACCCCCAGGGCGGAGGCAAAAGGTGCACCTTCTCTCCAACAGCCAACTGCTCGTTCGTGCATATTCTGGATGGGGCAGAGGTGGACAAAGGAGGGGATGCATTTCCTGTGTCTCAGCCAATGCAGAACAAAACACACTTGACCATTCTCTGAATATTCAGCAGTCTGAGTATATGAAAAAGATCTTGGCCGAGTTTATAGTATGACAAGAGAATTCCCATCAAGCGTCTGTTGCGCTGCCCTGGAATGTCGGCCAACTTGGAGGGCAGCAGGCAGCTCTAAAGGGCAAGAGGGCCACCTGTGCCCACCTCTCTGCAGCTCCTTGACTACCCCCTTGTGTGGTGGCCCCCCTGCAGCAGAAGGAGCAGCCTTACCTTGTCGGATGAGGTCAATGACGTCGTTGGCGTTGAAGCTGAGCTCGTCAGTGTCTTGGGCATCGTAGGCGTACAGTGCCCTGCACTGGGGTACCTGAGGCTTGGGCTGGGGCTGGGGCTTGGGTCTGCCCCCTGCAGGTGTGGGGCGGCTTGTCATCAGCCTACAAGCACTGTAGGGTTACAGAGGAAGGCCGTCAGGTTGTGGGACCAGGCCGAGTTGTCTGTTCCCACCCCCGGCAGGCAGTCTCACATAGGCGCCTGCACAGAAGGATTTAAATCTGAATTTTACATTTACTAGGGACAACCACGTGTGGTCATCTCTGCAGAGCATCCTTAGAATGCTTCTTATCTTGCAGAACACCAGAGATCCCGAGAGGAGAGGCACCACTGGGGAATCAGGGCTTCCACAGTCCAGATAGCTCCCCTGCAAGACTCTGCTTACCCGTAAAATGACTGGCCTACCTTATAGGGAGGACTAGAGGGCGCCTAAGGTGAGTTTACAAAAGCCAAGAGCTTTAAATGGAGAGTCGCTGTTGTAATTGGAGAAGGGGTCTCACCTGACTGTTTTTTTATCAAAAAATACAAGTAAAAGCATATGAGAGTTTCTGATGTAGTTCTGAGCCTTGGACTACAATGCCTATCAGTCTTGGCCACCGTTGCCTATACTCAGAATGAGGGTAGGAGATACTGAATGTTTCCAGAAGAAAGATGGACTTCCAGAAGAAGATGAACATACTGGACAGGGATCCATTCCATGACAACAGGCGAAGCAGGGGTGATTTCTCCAGAAGGGGTGTTTTGGTTTGGGCATTTACGGATGCGTGTGTGTGATGGGAACAGGGCGCATACTGCTGTGATGAGGGAGCTTCAGCACACGTGTGGCTCTTCTGAACTTTAAACAATCATGCACAACAGGCTTCTCTGATATAAAAGAGCCTTGAAATTGAAGCTCCCAGCATCTATTTTGGGCGGGTCTATTCTACCAGTCAAAGGATCCAGGCGTAACAACGTTCCTTCGTTTGTTGATAGGTTTTGGACACCCTGCAAAGGCATCTGGGCTACAGAATGCAAAGATGCAGCCAAGGGCTGCGTTTCCTGGGGTAGGGGGGAAGGGCAGCCTCAGCTCAGTGGCAAAGCAATGAGATGGCTTCCCCGGGCTCGGGGGGGGGGGCGCTGATAAAGGTGCCTGGCATGCTCCCTTCCTGGACCAGGACCAGCTGAACAACCCTGCCAGCGGGAGGCAGGCAAAGCAGCAGTCGTCCCCCCCCCGGCCTTCCCCCAGACTCCAGAGGAGAGATGGAAGGTGCAGCAACCCTCCAGCCCAGACATTTGTCTCTTCACACAAACAAGCAACCATTTCATACAGAGGAGCTTGACCAAACCAACATGGCACAAGGCTTACCCGGCAGCCCCTTGCTCAGGCACTTTGAGAAAATCCAGGCTGCTGGGCTGTTGGGATACCCTTCCTGGTCCCCCCGAGACCCGTGGCAGTGGTGGGCACACCACGGAGGGGTGCAGGTTCTTCTGAGTGGCTCGCTGGCCTGCTGCTGGGCCCGAAGGATGCAGGGGGTGTTGCTGGAGCTTGATCACCCCATTTTGTACACCTGAAAGGATTTCAAGATGAAAATGTTGAGGCCCTATGGCCCCTCATGGAACGGCTTCCCTGGAATTTCTTCCCAGATGTGGGGTTCAACTGCCAGGCTTTGGAGCAGAAGGGGGGCCCCCACCTTCATGGACTGGCTTTTTGCCACTAGGCAACAGGTGCCGCTGGGACTCCCGGCCACTTGCATTTAGTGCGCAGCTACCCCCAAACTTGAAGTCTCCCTGTCGTCACTGTGTCTGGAAGTCTCCTCCAGAAGTCTCCTCCAGGATGACACGTGGCATGAATCCAAACTGCTTCATTTGGCTTGTGCTTTACTTATTGCACAAATCCAGCCATCGTGGCTGATACAACAGATCCAGGTTAAAAACCAAACATGGCTCAGTGCCATCATTTAGAATCCATTGCTGATTTTGACTGATGAGTCGGACAGGGCGAGCCACCTTCAAGTCTCCTGTCCACCACAGAGATCTGCTTTGTGGCAACAGAACGGGGGAGATCTTGTCATCATCTATTTCAGCTGCCCTGTGCAGGAGGGATTTTAAGTGCTCTTCCCAGGATAGTGATTAGGGATGGGAGAGAGAACAGCCTGTGGGGACCAAGGATTGGGAGCAGGTTCCCGAAGCATACCTTCTGAGAGCTTACCGGGGGGCGGAGGAGCAGTCCTCATCGGATAGTTCTGGCCAGGCGTTTTGTTGGGAAGTCCTCTGGGCTGGCTCACGCCCCTTTTGGTGGGCCCTGCAATGCACCCCAGAATTCAATCCAGCAGTGACCATCTGCACCTGCCACCAACCCCCCCCCCCCCTTTCACCACTTCTGGGTGTTTGTACTTACGGGCGTTCCTTGGGAGTCCAGGCCCGATGCTGACCTGCAGCACTTTGTTGCTTGGCCGGAGAATGGCCACATCTCCCTGACCTTGGCTGAACTGCACTTGGCGAGAGCCCCCAGCCTTCCACGGCCCCCAGGTCTCTTTTTTCAGTTTCACCTCAAGTCTGGCAGAGAAAGGCAGAAGAGTAGGTGACACACCGAAGGGGGGAGGAGCAAGAGTCTTCCCCCTGGATGTGTCTGCTTGGGGCAGGATCCTTAAGGGCACCGCTGGGATTCCTGAGGCTCTCCATCTCTGTGGGAAGTCTTCGCTACGTCTTGGAAGATGAAGTGGCACTAAGAAGATGCGCAGACACGGGCAGACATAGAGGAGGAAGCTCAGCAAGTAGCACATCTGTCTCTGCCCACAGGAGGTGGGCTGTTGACAGAGCAAGTGTGATGGATGAATTTGCTGCCTCAAGCAAAGCTAAAAATAGCGTCTCTCTCTGTATCTGACCATCCCACGCAAAGGATTTCAGCAAAATGTGTCCTCCCCCCCCATTCCAATGCAAGTGAGGAGGGGGGACTCCCAGGGCGCAGCTGACAGCCTCGCCTTCAGGGGGCGCCTCGTGCAGGGGCTACTCACGTGTTGCTGAACTTCAGGGGGAGCCGTCTCTGCGTTTTCTCCTCGTAGCGCTTTGACAAGAGGCTCAAAAACTCGGTCTTGAAGACAGACTCCAGGAGGCTGTCGTACTCTTGCTCGTGTAGGACAAACAGGTCGTCCTGCAGGGTGCTGGGAAAGGCAGTTTGGGGCACCTGAAAGTCAGAGCTTGCCTCCCCAGGGAGGAGAATTCTACGCAAACGTCTGGCTTTGACTCTAACTTTACAGTAGTCTGTAAGTTACTTTAGTGTTACAAATAGAGGGGTTATAAAAAGCACCTTTAAAATAGCATTAGGGCCAGGTAGTCTGAGTATTTCAGTAGCAAAACACAAAAACTCCATTTTAACTAGTTTTGCAGCATTTTTTCAAAAAATAGTCAGATTATTCAGATGCCTTTAAATAAGCAGATAGTAATGGTAACTTTTGTCAGAATATCAGGAGCTATAATTAA